CAAACGTTAAATGGCCTTCTTGCTGCTTCCTGCGTATTCGTCTCCGCTGCAGCAGGAAGGACGATCTAGCGGAGACAATAAGAAGAATAGAGGCAGCACTGCAGCAGCTAAATAAGCTTGCTGCTAAGCAGCAGCAGCAACGCATGCAGCAGCAGCAGCTACTACTGCAGCAGCAGCAGCAGCAACAGCAGCAACTCTTATCCTTACAAGAACAGCAGCATATGACCCATCAAAAGATAGACAATCAGCAGCAACAGCACATGCAGCAACAGCAGCAGCAGCAGCAACAACAGCAGCAGCAGCAGCAGCAAGTAATATATCCAACATTTATATTATCTATTTCCTCTATGCCTATACACCGCAAGCTGCTATGCGTGCTGCGCTCCCCCTTCAAGCATAAAGACAGCAGAGAACAGTACGAGTTGCTGCAGCGTAAGGTCTTGGTGGATATACACCTGAGTACTATGCTGCTGCAGTACCTTAAGGATAAGCAGCAGCAGATCAACAGCAGCAGCAACAGCAGCAGCAGCAGCAGCAGCAGCGGAGAAGAAGAAGGACACCCCTTAGAGTCTATAAGAAGACTTCGTTCTCTTATAAAACTTTTCCGTCGTAATATATCTGCATGCATGCCGCAGCAGCTGAAGCAGCAGCAGCAGCAGAATGATTTGTTGCTGCAGCAGCAGCAGCAGCAACAGCAGCAGCAGCAAGAGATGCAAGATATCCATCGTTATAAAGCTATGGAGATTGAGGTGTATAGGGAGCTACAGCAATTAGTTATACCAGATATATCTTCTTTTGCCTCTCCCTCTCTTCTACAGCAGCAGCAGCAGCAGCAGCAGCAACAGCAGCAGCATTTACTACTCCTACAGCAGCAGCAGCAGCAACAACAACAAGAAGAAATACATAAAAAACAATTATCTACTTTTTTAAGTATTTGTTTACCAGATAGAGTAGATGCAAGAGCACACTTTGAGGTGTACGTACACCCCGAGAAATTAAATAAAATCTGGGGAAGATTAAACATGAAAACACAATGGATATCTAAATATCTACAATATAAACAGGTAAATAAAAAAATTAGGGTTTAGGGTTTAGGGTTTAGGGTTTAGGGTTTAGGGTTTAGGGTTTAGGGTTTACGAGGGTTTAGGGTTTACGAGGGTTTAGGGTTTAGGGATTACGAGGGTTTAGAGGGTTTAGGGGGTTTAGGGAAGATTAAATATGTAGACACAATGGAGATCTAAATATCTGCAATATATAGAGGTAATTAGGGTTTAGGGTTTAGGGTTTAGAGGGTTAGGGTTAGGGTTAGGGTTTAGGGTTTAGGAGGGTTTAGGGTTTAGGAGGGTTTAGAGGGTTTAGAGGGTTTTAGAGGGTTAAAAGGGAGTTAAATAAATAAATAATTAAATAAATAAATTAATTATTATTTTTATTTCTTTTTATTTATATAGGGCACATATATATACGAATAAATAATATAAATAAATAGATAAAAAAAGAGAAAATAAATAAATAAATAAATAAATAAATATATAAATTATTTTTATTCCTTTTTATTTACAGGAAATGCCTAAAAAAGAAGAATTAATTAATTTATTATTAAGCAATAAATATAAAAAAGATAAACTAATTCGTTGGCCTAATTCTTTTGATTCTCTTCGTCTTCTTACCTTACAAGAAATACAAAAAATGCTCAGAAAGTATACTTTATTTATTTATTTATTTATTTTATTTATTTATTTTATTTATTTATTTATTTATTTATTTATTTTATTTATTTTATTTATTTAGTTTATTTCTTTCTTTATTTATTTGTTTATTTATTTATTTGTTTATTTATTTATTTATTTATCTATCTACCTCTCTATCTATTTATCTAATTTGTTAATTAATTATATAATTAATTAATTTATTTTAATAAATTAATAAATTAATAAATTAATAAATTAAATAAATAAATATTTATTTTATTTATTTATTTATTTAATTTATTTGTCTAATTAAATAATTAATTTATTTTTTTTATTTAGGGTTAGGGTTGTTTTTATTGTTTTTTTTTTTATTTTTTTTTGTTCTTTTTCTTCTTTTTATTGTCTCCTTTTAGTGTCTCCTTTTTATTTTTTTTTTTTTTTTTAAATTTTTTTGTGTCTCTTGTGCTGCTGCTGCTGCTGCTGCTGCTGCTGCTGCTGCTGCTGCAGGGCGGAGAATTCTAGACTGGAGAGGTTAGCTCGTGCTCGTCGTGGTGAGCCTCCCTTTAGGCCTAAAGTTCGTGTCTTTGGTGATTTTATTGAATCTGACGAAACCCCAAACCCTAAACCCTAAACCCTAAACCCTAAACCCTTAAAAACCCTAAACCCTAAAAAATCCTAAACCCTTAAAAGTTTGTAGATTATTTTCTTATTTATTTCTTCTTATTCTCTAATCATCATTATTATAACCCTTAACTTATTACCTCCTCTTTTTTTCTTTATAAATTATTCTCTAGGGTTTGGGGTTTAGGGTT